TCTTCTATATATAGAAGACACTATCTGGAGGCAGACTTCCTATTTTGAGTGAAATTTTTCAAAAACATTTTCTATATTCCTCTTTTCTTTAATCAAGGCCAACCATGGCTACAGAATGAGATCTTATTTAAGAAAACATCACATACAAGTGATGCGGTTTGCAATGCATAGAACACATGAAAGTCTACTTTCTGACAGCTGGCTCCTTTCTCCACAAGCGCTCTTTCACTAATGAATGCCGCCTCCTGAAAGGCTAGATGCAACACACACTTCAATATGTCCAGACTGCCAGGCCACTGAAACACACCAGGACTTGATTCCCTCCAAAGGGAGAAAACAACAAGTATTATAGTAATGACCGGTTTTCTGGGCAATGTACTTTCTGCTGCTGTAAATAACTGTCCTGCTCTTCATTTGCCAATGTTCCAGTCGAAGGATTAAAGTTCTAAGGCACATACACCTTCTTTGGGATAGTAAATCTGCATATCAAAATGTGTTTTCCCAACATAACAAGGCACACATTTATTTACAAAAGCTGTCTTGTGTGTCTAACATTATTGACAATATTCATGCACTCCTATAATGTATGCAGCGTTTGAGTTTAAAAGGTAATCTGATCACAGCACTACTATACATTTGTCTGAGAAGGGCAAAAGGGTTTTAACATAACCACTATGCCTCTGGCACCTTAGTTTTCAAAATGCTACCACAGCACCCTCTGGTGTTCCCTTGAAATTTCCATCTCCTAGATGCCTTTTTCACTGAGAGAAACTAGTCAGGAAGAAAAGCAATTTCTATTGACACCAACAGAAATTGTATTTTAAAGGGTCCCTTCCTCTGTATTATCTAATGTGACCCTCAAACACTTCCCGCTATAAGGTCCCTGAAGTTAGAGCTAGAGTCCTAACCTGAGTGTCTTACCGAGCAGCTTCCAGACACTTACCCGTGGAGTGGGCAAGGCAGACTTTATTGTCCACTGAGGAAATCTGTTACAGGAACACACACACTGCTTTTCCAATTGACTTATGAGGATATCTCCGTAAGCTAAACATTTGTTGTTTGGTTTGGTTTGGTGATGATTGATGTTTGGTTGGCTTTGGTTTGTTCTTCTTTATTTGAGAGATTCTGTCTCAAAACGTAGACCAGGCTGATCTAGAACCCACAGAGGCCCACTTGCCTCTGCCTCCCTGGTGCTACAATTAAGGCATGTATTATCAAGCCCAGTCAAGGTAAACACTTTCTTAAGGATGGATGGGGAAACATGGAATGTTCTTGTTCTTAGGTGATACTTGCTGAAGAAGATAGAGGTGATTACACAGACTGGGAGTTCAGACAGAGGCATAAAGTAAACGGGGCTACAGTATCCCTTGGTACACTTAAGTGACAGATGTAAACGGGGCTACAGTATCCCTTGGTACACCTAAGTGACAGATGTAAACGGGGCTACAGTATCCCTTGGTACACCTAAGCGACAGGCGTAGAGCTGCCCATTCTCTTTTTTTTCAAATTGTGAAACATTTCAAAATAAAAAGCTGGTGAAGACATTTTGAAGATAAAAATTTTGAGGATACAAACTTGCATGAACACTCAAATATAATAAAGAAATCACTCTTAAAAACACACCACCCCAAAATAACCAGGCTATTGCCAAGGCTACTGGTTGACCTCCACAAACCAACAATAAGGCCCCATTGCCGGAGACGACACCTACACAACTCACATGGAGAAGTCAAGCAAATGCCTACCTAGGGCTGTCACCCCTAATGACAAGTGTCCCTAGTACTGGGAGGTACTCCACATGCTACCAAAGGAAAAAAGTAACTCCAACCCACCTACCAACTTATCTACAATGATGAGCTGCCTACAAGATAGATGCACTAGTACAATGGTGGTTCAAAGGCTATGGGAGTAACTAACCAACACCTGAGTGCATTTAAGGCCACTCCATGAGATGAAATCCATCACCAACACTGCTCAGGTGGCCAAGAGTTTGAGACCAGATAGGCCAGGGACCTAGGGGGAAACTGTTCTGCTAAAGGAAGTTAGCCATACAGTGACTGCTAACATTCTGCTCTGTTCATAAACGAGAGAGCCTTGCTCAGCCATCATCGGAGACGATTCCTCCTGCCATAGATGGGAACAAACACAGAGACCCACAGCTAGGCAATGTACAGAGAGTGAGAGACCTGAAACACTCCTAAATGGGATGTCTCCATCAGAATCCTCCCTCGGGGCTCAAGGAGCCCCACAGAAGAAGAAGTAAAAAGATTGTAAGCGCCAGACAGGATGGAGGACACAAAAGAAACAAGGCCCTCTAAACACCGGACTGAAACCCATGTGAGCCCACAAAGACTGAGGCAGTATGCACAGGACCCATGCAGGTCTGGACCTATGGGGTCCCAGCCCTGAGAGGGGAAGGAGACCCAAGCCCCCAACCCTAACACAGAAGATATCCCCAATTTATAACCACTCACAAATGAAAAATTAGTGTTCTCCAACAGAGTGTCATTGGGGACACAAACCACTCTTAAGGGCAGGCCCTGAGCCCAGTAGATGCCAGACACAAAAAGAATTCATTGGCATCTTTGAAGGTTCTTTGTCTCACGTTTTGTCAGAATTTATATTTTAACTTTACAGATCCTTTGTGTATGTATTTTGGCTTCTGGTTTTATGGGATTCCTGTGTGTATGAACATTTGTGCTCTCTGTAGCTGTGTTTCTAGTGCTTTTCCTTTGCTTCTTTTTCTTCTGTTTATTTTGTCCTAGTCCAGTTTTCGTTTTATTTTATCTTTAGATGACTGCCTGCTTTCTAACAAGAGACAGAAAGCGTATTGATTCAGACAGGAGGTGGGGGTGGGAAGGATCTCAGATATTCAGAATATATTTTAATAAGAAAACTATTTTCAATGAAAGAAGAAAGTAAAGAAAAGATAAATACACGATCTGATCATTCCAGCAGATCTGCCATCTTCCAGGTCTGCTTCCGATGCTTGCTCTGTTTGTTCAAACTGTGTTTTACTCTTTTGTGTGCCTTCTAATTTTGTTATGAAAAGGCAGATATAATTTACTGGGTAAAATGAACTACAGTGAGTGCAATGCTAGTAATTATAAGGAACAGAAGAGAAGAAAAAAGCAGTTTTTCATTCTTTACTTTATCTGAGTCTTTAGGTAGCCCTAGAAAGTCATTCACAGTTGCTCCTTTTCTTTTCTTTTTCTTTTTAATTCTCACCCCTTTATTACAGGATAGCTAGAGCTAGAGGGGGCTGAAGTTGACTCCTCTCCCTTCTCCCTCACTGGCTGAGCAAAGGCAAAACCCATGCTGAATTAAGAACCTGGTAAAATAAATTTTGAGGGCAAACCTCAAGAACAGACATGTCTACATTTCTACTCCCTCTAGTGGGGACAGGAGGAAATTCTTCTCTCACCTTCGCTGAGAAGTCAAAAATGTAAAATTTACTGTAAAATTTACAAGTATGAGAAGACCCCCTCCACTCCACACAACTGCATCCTCCCTGGAGTTTACGAGTGCCGGACCAAAGCACAAGAAACCTCCGACAATATGCCAAACACACTTCAGTTTCTTACACCCGTGCTGCTGCTTGAAGGGATGGGATTCTAGTCTGATAAATCGTGATTCTCTGCATTTCTGTCTCTAATCTGGGGGCAGCGGTGTGACTTCACTTCTCTAAGAATTGATAATTCCTCAACTTGTTCAGCTTTTAGGTGGAATATAACTTCTCATCTCCATGCGTGGTGGTCCATAGACTCATATATGTGAATATTCAGTCACCAGAGAGTGGAACCGGATGAAAGGCTAAGATCAGGAGGCGTGGCCTTGTTGGAGGAAGCATGTCATAGGGAGTGGGCTGAGAGGTTTCAAAAGCCCCATGCCAGGCTCGGGCCTCTCTCCCTCTCTCTCCCAACCTCCTTCCCTCCCTCTCTCTTCTGAACGCAACTCTCAACTACTTCTCCAGCACCACATCTGCCTGCAGCCATGCTCTCTGCAATGAAGATAACGATAATGGCCTAAATCTCTGAAACTGTAAGCAAGGCTCCCAGTTAAATGCTTTCCTGTCTAAGAGTGGCCTTGGTCATGGGGTCTCTTCACAGCCACAGAAGACTGACTAAGCACCACAGCCGTCAAAGCAGAAAGCAGATGTCCTACTGGTTTTTGTTGTTGTTTGTTGGTTTAAGGAGAGAGGTTGAAAAAAATGCAAATTTAAATAATAAACCTGAAGTAGGAGAAGGAAATAAAGGCACTCACTAGAATCTGGATTTTATACCTATCTTGCCCTTAAATATTGTTAGAGTAACAATATTAGATTGTTACCCATCTGACTTCAAAAAAAAAAAAAAAAAAGAAGAAAGGAAAAGAAAAGAAAAAATCTAAGAGAAGGAAACAAAATGCATTGATCAAAGTATGTTTTTAAAAGATCGCAAAAAAGGGGCATTAATTTAGAAAGGTGTTAGGGATTCGGTCTTCGGGCATCATGGAAATCAGGTAAAAGGCTTTCTGGACCGTAAAAAATAATGAGAGCCTGAACTAGAATAGCAGCAGCGAGGAGAAAAGGGTTACAAGATGTGAGAGAGATTGAAGGGTTGATAACAAAGATTGCAGAGACCAAGGGAAAGGGAGAAGTTGTGTGAGGGGACCAGGGCCGGTTGGTTTTAAGGGGTCAGTTTGCTAAGACCTCTGCCCCATATTACCCCACCATCCCATGCTGACTCGTGTGCTCACTCGTGTCCGCCATCAACCAGACCCTCAGGAAGTACGCCCAGTCCGTGGCCAAACAGGGTCCCTACCCAACCACAAGTAGGAACTGTTCTTGCAATCTTCAAACAGACCCCTGACACAGCAACCACAGTTGCTGACCAGCTGTCATAAGCCAGTCACTGAATGATTCCCACACCAATCAGGGTCTACACCCAATCACTTCAAGGAACGCCTACCACAGCTGGAATTCCCCCTAAGCAAGCTTTTAAAAGACTTGACTGTCTTACTCTTTTTCCCCACAGTCGGCGCCAGTTTGGGTAGACTCCAGCATGCTGGTTTCTCTGTCTCCAGAAGAAAGCTGCTTTCCGCAATTGCTGAATTGATTTGGGATTCTGGCTCGAGCGCGTAAATGGACATCCTTGCCATCATCACAGACATGTAGAGAAAAGTCCCTTTAAGAGGAAAAGACAAGATTAGTTTGAAATGAGTTGAGCTTTAAGCACCATGAAATACGCTAATTCACACAGGTATCTAGTGGGCACTTGGCACTTCAAGCCTGGAGTTTAGGAAAGCCACCCTGATGGGAGACAGAATATCTTCAATGTATGTAAGTTAAAAGCCAGAGTGTGAGTTAGGGTGAAATGAGGGAAGGACTTGGAACAGTATCATGCAGAACGTCAACCCTAAGGTCTGTCTTCAGCAAATAAGCCTTGAGATATACCGAGAATGAAGTGTTCTAGTAGGTTCGTTTCAACAAAAACTCCTCCCCATCCATTTAGGATTTAGGATTCTGTCAAGAACGTAGCATCCTCCGTCTCTCTTTGTCTAGTCTTAAAACGAGCCCAGTCTGCTCCCTCATTCCCTTCCTGCAAAATCTTCTCCCCGTGTCTTGTGGCCCCTGAAATCCCAGGAACCCGGCAGAAGCAGCAACTGGAGTTCGGCGGCAGTTCGTGTCTAGGAACTCCCTCTAGTGTTCCGAGTTCTCAGGAAACTCTGCCGCTGGGGGCAGTGTGGAAGCTTCCAGAAGCACGGAGCACAAGGAGGAGGCGGGGACACGACCCGGAAAGCGTGGCTTTTTCCTCACGTGCTTCATGAGGGCACTCCGGTTCCCTCACGTTTATACTTCTCTCATTTCTAAGCCTTACGTACAATGACTGCACCAAGTTAGACAAGGAACTGCCACAGAGATGCTCTGAAGCGACTCAATCACGCCAGCCCGGGATAAAAAGTTTCACTGGCTCAGGATAAAAAATCCCCGCCATCTCTATCTGCGGAGCGCGGGAAACCAAAACAGGCTCCGCCCTTCCTGCATTAGCCCCGCCTCCCTCTCAAATCCCGTCCCTCCACAGGCCCCGCCCCCTACGCACGCCGCCTCTGCATCATACTCCGCCCCCGCGTTCAGCCCCGCCCCTCACGTACGACCCGCCCCTTCCCGGGATCCGCTAGACTTGTTGCTTGACGTTCTGCTCAGGAACCCCAACCTGCGGACATGGCGAACCAGGTATTGAAAGGCGCGATGGGCCGGAGCAGAGGAAGGGAACGCTCGGGGGGTGCGCTGCCGCCAGCCCGGGAAGCCGAGCGCAGCCGCAGCGAGGGCGGGAAGGCTTTGTTTCGGTCCTGCGCTTGGAGAGCAACTTTGCTTTTTGCTCTGCTCGGCCAGAAGCCTGTTGGGAAAAGGCCGGCGGCCTTCACGCAGGCTCACGCTTGCAGGATGGCGGAGCTGGAGCACTGACCGTGACTACCAAGCAAAGTCAGACTGTTCCTTGGGCCTTCGCTTTCCGTGTGCAGCACCGTGTACCTGTTTCTTTAAATCGCATCTTACTATCAAGTCCATTTCCAATAAACCCAGTGACTTGCAACCTTTATTCTGTCAACGTATTTCATAAGCATCAACCTTCTCATTAGGCTTGTGTCTGGGGTAAGGAAAGGCAGTACTGAGTGGAATCGCTTTGGTAGCTCATTACTTTAGATGCACGATAAAAAAAAATTGTGTAATGAATTTTAAACTTTCCAGGAGCCACATTAAAAAAAACACATAAAATTAATTCTAATTACCATTACCTAATAGTTACAGCACTGTTTCAACATGTTATCAGTATTTTTAAATTGAGGTATTTTTTTTACTCTTCTAAGCTTTCAAAATTTACATTTGTAGCCGATCTCAGTTCACACTGACCTTTTCTTGTGTTCAGTAGCCACACATGGCAAATGGCTAATGTGTTAGCTAGCACAGTTACAATAGACGATTGTGATATTTTTACATATCCCTCATTTAGATATTTCTTAGGATCCTTTCCACTGGGCAGTTTTGCATTAAAGTGGTGTTTTATAAGCTGTCCAAAGGAAAATATTATTAGGATATATGATAATAAACTTGTGGGTCCTTGAATTACTAGCCTAGCTTACTGATAGGACCTGGGTGGGATTTTGTTGTTCTTAGCTTGGCTTGCCTTTTGTTGTGTTGGGGATCTGATCCAGGGCCTTGTGCATTCCAGGCAAGTGCTCTACCATTGATCTGTATCCCTAGCTTGGCTCCTGTATCCTGTAGTCTTTATTTTGTCCTCCCATTTTTGTTTGTGTAGATAAAGTCTCACTATGCAGCTCTTGCTGGACCAGAACTTTCTGTATGCGGGCCTTAAATTCACGGAGATCCTCCTGCCTCCACCTCCCAAGTACTGAGATTAAAGTATGCACTTCCACACCCAACAGGACCTGTATCTTAATCTGTTCTCAATTAAATCCTTTTTTTTTTAATTTTTTTTGTGTGTGTATGTGTGCATGCGCGCCTGTGTTTGTGTGTACCACATGCATGCAGAAGCTTGTGGAAGTCAGAAAAAAACACAGGTCCTCTGGAACAGGAGTTTCATCTAGTTGTGATGTAGATGCAGAATCTGGAGTCCTCTGCAAGAGCACCAAGTGCCATCTCTTCAGCCTTTCAAATATATGTGTGCATGTGTGCATGTAGTGGTTTTTCCAGGGAAGGTTTAAGATGGGATCTATGTAGCCCTGCCTGTCCTGCAACTTGAAATGTAGACCAGACTGGCCTCAAACTCTTAGAGATCCACCTGCCTCTTAGGTGCTGGACTAAAGGTTTGCATCACTATCCCTGGTCCTTCAATTATATATTTATATATTTTTAAGTATATTACTTATGTGAAACCATTTCACACAGAGGTATACGTTTTCTGTGAACATGTTCGCTTCATTTAGTTTTGTGTGTGCCTAAGTGTGTAGTGTGTGTGTTTATGCATGTTCACATGTGGGTAAGGGAAGGGCTGAGGCTGACATCAGGAGTCTTCTTCTGTCGCTCTCCACCATATATGCTGAATCAGGGTCTTTCTCTTGAACCCCGAGCTCACCAGCATAGGTAGTCTAGCCAGCCAGCTTGCTCTGAGGATTCCCTAGCTGCCATCTGAGTGCTGGAATTACAGACAGGCCACCGCATCCATGTATGCTGTGGAGCTGAGCTCTGGTCCTCATGCCTGCACAGCAGGGCCTTTACCCACGGAGCCATCTCCCCGCCCTGGTACACTCTGGTGTTAGCAATCATTAGTATCTGAGTTGCCTGTCGAGGAATTATTAATTTAGGGAGATTAAACTGTTTACCGCCTTTTCCCCCACTTCAGGTGATCAGATGCAAGGCTGCAGTCGCCTGGGAGGCTGGAAAACCTCTCTCCATAGAGGAAGTCCAAGTAGCACCTCCCAAGGCTCACGAAGTTCGAATTAAGGTAATGTTACAGCAAGGCTCTGTGGGAAGAAGCATGCAGTTAGTCTCGGGATAGAGGAGTAGGCCTGAGGGCTGCAGAGGATAAACCCAAAGGGTGGTGTCCAGGAGGAGGCATTGGAAGCCTTCCAGCCATGGAATCACACAGCCCTCTCACCTGCCCTCCCTAGAAGCAGCCCTCTGGGGCTGAGAAGCCAAGCCTCTGGATTAGTGGACTACAACGATATAACTTTTTATGATTTGGGTTTAAGGCAGCTTTATATGATCCTCTCCTCCCTGCTAATCCCATAACTCACAGTGTGGTGCATTAAGTCAAAGAATAGACTCGATCTTCAGGTTTGCTTCCAGAAAACTGGGGAAAGGTTCTTGATTGATTAGAGCAATAAACAAAGTTCTCTTGCCCAGAGAGCATTAAAGTGCCCCTGGCTGACAAGGCCAGGGTTCAGTGGGTTCATTAGTCCCTTGCCCCTTTCCCTTCACTGTGGCTAAGAAAAGAAGTTACCCCTGGAGAGAGGCAGAAGACAGCATTCCCCAGAGACCTTTGACTTCTTGACATAAAACTTCGTTTTACCCTCTGCTCTGTACTGGTTTTGGGTAAAAAGTGAATGCTTTAAAGTCAGAACCATTACATGTGTTCTGATCCATAACATTCTGGAAAAATGTTCCTCTTCAAGGAAAAGAGCCACGGGTCTCTTGCATTGCCCCCAGACACACCATGCACTGCCTGTGCCCCAAGGTTCACAGAAAGATCTGATTGAGAAGCACAAAGCCTAACGCTTTTCAAGGTCCTTTTCAGCCAAGTCTAAGACTCTGAAATCTCATACTTTGTGTATTTCTGTTCGTGTTCAGAAGTTAAGCTGGTGGGGCTGGAGAGATGGCTCAGAGGTTAAGAGCATTGCCTGCTCTTCCAAAGGTCCTGAGTTCAATTCCCAGCAACCACATAGTGGCTCATAACCATCTGTAATGGGGTCTGGTGCCCTCTTCTGGCCTGCAGGCATACACACAGACAGAATATTGTATACATAATAAATAAATAAATATTAAAAAAAAAAAGAAGTTAAGCTGGTGGGTGCTTTGCCAGTAAAGAAAGCAGTTTGTCCTAGATAAACGAAGATGAATAGTGTGGACACGGTGAACTTTCGTCCCCCAGGAAGCTGGTGACGTACAGAAAAGGATGGGGTACAGAGGACGGAAGCAGAAAAGCATAAATACGAACAAGATTTTTCCTTTAATTGATTTTTTTTCTTTAATGTATATGTTGATGTACCTCTGTGAATTTCTGTGTGCCAAGCGCATGCAGGAACCTGAGGAGACCAGAGGGCGTTGGAGCCCAGGGGAGCTGCAGGTAGTTGTGAGCCGCCTAATGTGGGTGCTGAACCCACAAACCGGATCATCTGCAAGAGCGGCATGCACTCTTAGTCACTGAGCCATCTTTTCACCGCGCCCCCTACCTTGTTTGAGTAGAAACTGTATGCCGGCCAAAAGACTCCATTCCACTGAAAGCTCTGAGTTTGGCGGAGACCAGACAGGCAGGTACCTCTCAGAAATAATGTCTTCTTAGGAATTACATTCCAAGTTAGGAAGCCGGCAGTGGAATGGCCCCCGCTGTTTGGATTCTCTTTATCACGGAAGGCACAGTGCTGGTGAAGCCACCAGCTTTACCTCTGCTTGCTCACATCAAAAGGGAAAATGGCTCTGTCGCACCTTCCTGCATATTAACGCACCACCATGCTCATTAGTACCAAGAAGTCTGCCAAGTCTAAGAATTGTAAACGTGCTAATTCTAGGGAAGTACAGTTATAAAGGAAATGTAGCTAAAAATCTACAAAGCGTGCTGTCTACAGCTGCATGTGCACACTTAGATGCCTTTTACTTAGATGCCTTTTCTCTTGACGTCCTGGTAGATCATCGCCACCGCCATTTGCCACACCGATGCCTATACCCTGAGTGGAGCTGATCCTGAGGGGTGTTTCCCAGTGATCTTGGGACATGAAGGCGCTGGGATTGTGGAAAGCGTTGGTGAAGGGGTCACTAAGGTGAAGGCAGGTAAGGAAGGCGTCTGATCCACTCATCTTGATTTTGGCTCGTTTCTGGGACGTTACTGATTAACCGTCTCTGTTTCTGAGCAGGCATCACCTACGGAAGTTGTCAGTTAATTTCAATTATCTTGGAAGCACAAGTATTTGGATTCATTTTTTTTTTCTTCTTTGATTTTGCAGACTGCTTTTCATTTGAAACTTTTTATTTGAAACTGCCTTAAGTACATTACCAAAAGCAATTTTGGCAAGTTAAGCAAGAATTTATAGGGATGTGTCAATGAATTGGTGGTTTTGAAATATATCGACCTCTTAAACCTCCAACTATT